TTTAAAATGTCAGTTGCATGCATGTCCAAAGCTAACTGTTGAACACATCAAAATAACTCCATTTTTCAGCTATGAATGTTCGTTTAGCTGCACAAGTTTTAAGTAATTCCTGCAGTACTGCATTAGAAATCTATGCGCCATCAGATACTTCAGGAACTGCACAGTTTTGCAAATATTTTAATGATTTTTTTGATTGCTTAAATGTTCGTAATAAAAATGATTATATATTAAAACGCAACTCATTTTTGAATCCATTTTCTGATACAAATGATGTTCGGTTTACATGGCTAAAAGAAAATTTTTTTAAATATCTTTCTGATTGGTTTTTATCAATTGAATCAAGACCTGGAAAATTTTCAAAAAGTGATAGAAGTAATATGTTTATTACTTGGCAAACCCATGAAGGTTTAAAAATTACAGTTAATTCTATTATTGAACTTGTGAGTTTTTTAATTAATAGCAATGTAAGTTATGTATTAACTGAAAGGTTTTGCGAGGATCCTTTAGAAAATTACTTCGGTCAACAACGATCAATTGGTAAAAGAAAAGATAATCCTTCCTTGTTTGATTTTGGGTTCAATGATAATACCATTCGAAATCAACATATATTTCACCCAATTGCAGGTAACGGTCTAAATATTAATGAATCAAACAGAACAACAATAAAGGAGAGTATGAGTCGTATACCACGCAGAAAATGGACTTACTCTCAAAATTCTATAGATAAGAAAAGTTGATTTTTAATGTGATTTGATAAAAAACTCTCTTATGTCTCCTCGTACTGCTGAAAACAAAAAAATGAATTTGCATAAAAACGGCTATTTTTATAGCCACAAATTTTTTAAAAACATTAAATGGCATACAAATAGAATAAATTGTTTTTTATTTTTTTTACTTTTGTTACAATATAAACCTATGCTTTTTATAGAACCTCTAATTTATAAAGATTTATATAAATATTTTACAAAACCTTTAATAACTGCAATTTTATATGGAACCGTAGTTAGGGGTGAAATTCTTAAAGCTTTTCTATTTTTCATAGGTATCACTGCAGGCCAACACCTCTCCTCCAAAACCTGTCATTAGAACCCCACAGTTTGAAAACATATTTTGAATATTATCAATGACATTAGCTCCTCAAGTTTGTTTATGGGCTTTACAATTTTATGGGCCCTAAAATTTTCTACCCACTGATTAAGGGCCTGGGGGAGCTTAATCAAGGGGCTGTCCATTAATTACGTCAACAAAATAGGGGGAGGGGGGTCTGAAGTTTTTTGACAGTTGTTGACACGGGGGAGGGGGAAGGTCAAGTAAAGTTGACGTCAACAATGTTTTTGTTTTTAAAAATTTCATTACTCAAAAAACAGAAAATTAGGCGGTATTTTTTTCATTTAAGGAGGGGGGGAAGGATAATCAAAAGTTGACGTAATTATATAGGGGGGGTCTCTAAAAGTTTGACAAATTGTTGACAAGGGGGAGGTAAAAATTTCAAAATATTTGTTGACGTAATTAATGGACAGCTCCTAAGAGAGATAGAGTTGTTTCTAGGAAAGTGGGGAGGCAACAGGATAGTTTTGCCCGAGGCCCTAATGATTTTAGGGACATCAGCCAAAAATCAAGGACATTCTTTATATTTTGAAACACCAAACTTGCCTCTTACTCATCAATAAGGTTGTTGTGTAGAGGCAGGGCTATTATAAGGTATAATACCCCCTCCTTCCACCCCATCTAGATTTGTAGCCAACAAGTTGACAAATTTGGATCTAGATGTCAAATATAAAAATCAAGAACTTTGTTTTTAAGTTAGAAGATATGCTTATTACCCCCACCCCCAAAAAAAAATTATTTGCACACAAATAAATCTGGAACACATGAATAAGTAAGAATAACAAAAAAAACTTTTACTTTGCACCTATTTATTTAGATGTATGGTGTCATAATCTTGACCCAGTTGAGCTGGGAGAGGCCCATTTTATATATAATCTCAGATATAATCTGATTAATACAAGAGATGACTAGAATTTTGACATTTGGGTAAGATTTAATAGGCCAACTAGGATACTTTTTTTTTTCCATTAGGGGACTAACTTAAAAAATTGATTTTGCCTAGCTAATTATATAAAATATTTTGCCCCTGATTATATAAATCTGGCACAAATATACACACTAAATAAACACACACACACACATACACACACACACACACACACACACACATATATATATATATATATATATATATATATATATATATATATATATATATATATATATATATATATATATATATATATATATATATATATATATATATATATAGCATTTGTTGTAGGTTGTTCAAACCGAGGTAGGAGGTAGTATCACTAGCGATAGTATCACAATAAAATTATATATATATTATATCAGGAGTCTATTAGTCAGTCAGAGCAGAGAGTTAACATGAAAGTTTTTGTTTATAATAAATTTAAAACTATTATGTGTATATTATAATTTTGTACTACTATTTCATAAGAGTCCTTTGGGGTTAAGGTCCTAAATTCTTTATCAATCACTTATTGACACAAACAAATCAAAACATTTGTCACAAAAAAAAATTCTTTGAAAAAAAAAAATTTTTTTATGAAAAATAAATAACAGAGTTACTATGCCAATTATGCTTTTATGAAATTTGTTGCTATGAAAATAGCAGTTTTTGAATGTGATATTTCATTAAACTATTTATTCGAATCCAATAGATGTTTTTTTCATTTTTGAACGGAGTGATTTTGACTTTGTTTGATTTTCTTTAAGTTTGTGGATACTTAGTTTTTCTTTTGCATATGAAAAAGATCTTACTCTAACATAAAGTGTAACTAGATGATAAAACAAGTTTAAAGACAGTTCTTTGGATACTTGATTTGTGCAAAGACTACAAAGTTCAGATATGCTTGCCATAACAACACTCTTTTTTAAAATTTCTGTTACAATCAGTTCTGAATCAATTTTTTTTACAAAACCATTACTTTGTTGGCGAAAGAGAACCTCGACTTTGGTAAAGATCTCTAAAACTGGAGGAGACACTTTCCACAAACCACCGCAATTTTTTGCATTTACAAATTTATGGTAAAACTCAGTGGATGGTTCAGGATTCTTTAAAAAATTTTCAATTTTACCAGTATTATGAAGTGAAAGGCAGTCTGTGCTTAACTTTTGCTGCCATAACCGTGAACTCCGAACTCTGCAAGAAAATGTACTGAATACATAGCCACTTAAATACAAGATTATTTCTTTATCTCGATCTGAAAGTTCAAAAGATGATAAATCATTTAAATTTATTAAAGAATTATTGTAAAATGAGTTTGTAAGAAACACTAAAACATGATTGCATAGTTCACATCCAAGAAGTCTAGTTGTTTTTTTACTTAGATAGTTTATGAAAATCTCACAATTAATATCTTTATAAAATTGAGGATAAAACTTTTCTGCATCACCATTAGCTTGAAAACTGGCTATTGTTGTCTCTAATAAAGATAGGGTTTGTTGTGAAGTTTCTAATAGCATTGCATGATTTATTCTCAACTCGTTTCTATACAAATCAGGATAGCATTCGTCGTCAATTAAAGTAGTAATTTTTTTATCAAGCAGACTTTTAAACTCGCTAAGAAGAATAGGGGGTTTAGGATTTTGTAATGTAAAGTCCGAAGGAATACCTTTATGCTGTGAGTTTGTATGCCTTGTAAGGCCTCTTTGAGATATGCATTTCTTAGAGCAAATTGTACAAGAAAATGTGCTTTTAACTGGTTCAATGGACAACTCCAACACCAAGGCGTCTAAATCTTTATTAAAATTTTCGTCTTGAAAGAGGAAATTGTCCTCCAAAGAAAAAAATAGTGTTTCAATATCAAATTTGCTATTTAACTCTATGTCCGTTTCCATATTTTGTGCACTCTGTTCCTGGCCGTTCGACAGTTTTCAAGTGTTTTTAACGAATATTAGAAAAATCAAATAATACGGCCCGAGTGACCAGACTATCTATTTCTTATGACTATGATGTAGGTGAAGGTTTTGCTTCAGGGTGGCAAACAAAAAAGTCTTTTATAAACGTGAAAAAATTTGAGACTAAAATGCAGAGACCCCTTTAACTGAACATTAGATGAAATTGTGTCGTATCAACAGATAATTTACTATTTGTGGTGCAGTATAGTATTCGGGATAAAACATGGAAAGAAAAAAAGGAAACTATATACATTTCAGCAAGACAATAATGCACAGCATACAGCAATGATACACAGCATAGAGACATTCAAAATGCTGGAATACCTACCTTTAAATAGCCAGCACAATTACCTCATCTTAATCCGTTTAAAGATCTATGATCTATATTAGATGCTATACTTATAGACAGAAAACCTAGTAATAAAATTATTTGTTTTTGACTCTTCCAAATCGTTTGTACCACTGGAAGTGGGAGTAACAAATCCAGTTAAAAGCATACCAAACAAATGTAAAGCGGTTTTGTGCTGCGACATTTTCTAAACATAAATTTATTTTATATTTAAACTTCTTATTTGTTTCAATGTATTTTTAGAACTAGTTTTGTGTTTCCATTGTTATGAAGCAAAATATTATTCAAATTTTAGTTAACTATTTTTCAATAACTCAATTATTAAAATTAATTTCATTAGTTTAATTAAACCGTAGTAAATATAAATTAAAGTTTCAAATTAAAATGTTAAAAGTCTAGTTTTTCAGTCATGATTGTTTGAGTTAAGAAAAGAATTTAACAATAATTAATCAAAATAATAAAAAAAATTAATAAAAAGGAAAATACAACAACAACAAAAACATTTCTAGTGGACTGTTGTGGCTTATTTAGCTTTGGGAAGGTAAAAGTAAATAAACAAACAATGTTTTTTAGTTTCACGTTTTTTGAAAATAATAAAACAATTTTTTTATTTTCTGAAATAATTTAGAGTTTTTTAAGATAATTAGTTGTGGTTATTGTTGTTTTTTTCAGGAAAAAAATCTGAAGAGGAAACAAAACTTTTTATCCAAGAAGTCACATCAGTGTTTTACTATATATTTGAAATTATTATTAATGGCGAAATGACAATAGATTTTTTGATCACCCTAAGAAACAAAGAAGAAGTTTTGTTTGGTCTTATGGAAGTATTAAAAGTCGATTTTTTAGACAATTTTAAATCAAGATACCGTTTACGTTTGAAAGAATTATATTGGCTTACAAAAACTAATGAGATTGTAAATTATACACATCATCTTTGCAAAGAATTACTTCCAAGCACTGGTAATTTTTATACCTGTTTAAGACTCACAATGTAAATTTAATACATCCATACACAAATTATCTTTTGATAACATTTTTCTTCTTTACCAATAACACTACTTTTGATTGTCGCCTAAATGTTAGTTATTAAAATTAGTTTTATTATTTTTATAACAACAACAAAAAATAACATATTTAACGACTAAACTTTTTGTTTACACACATCCATACATTGAACAATTAAATAACAAAATTAAATAACGTGGACTATATTTCAACTAATTTATTATTTTGACTTCAAAGTTATTTTGAAAAAAAAAGAATTCTCCCAGTCAATAAACAATAAATTAGTTTTGAAAAATGCAAGAGTTTTTTAAACACTTAGGTTCTGTTTTTACGAAAAAAAAACACAATAAAATTTTATTTAAAGAAAAAAATTAAACAAAAATTCATAAAAACAACCTAAAGTCAAACTTTAATAACAAAATAATAGATAATAACAAAAAAGGAATTTCCCGCAATAACCTTTTCTTTTCTTTTTTTTTTTTTAAAAACGTTAAAGTATCTAAAAAGTTAACTACATTTCAATTCAACAATTAAGTTTCTGTTTTTGTTGATGATGCTTTTGTGTTTAAAAATATTTTTTCAATTTAGCATTTATTTGGTATTGTCCTATACATCTAAGTATACAATTTACAAAGCTAAAAAAAAATTAAAATTTTTTATATAAATAAAAAAATATTAATAACTTTGAAACTTTTAACTTAATACTATAGGCTTTTATAGGTAACGTGTTATAGTTATATAATATAAAAAATAGTTATAAAAAATTAGTATACACACATATATATATATACATATATCAAGACATGTTTCAACTATATATAGTCATCATCAGTTAAAATATATTTGTTAAAAACGGTACAAATGTAATATATAATTGTAAAATTAAATATAATAAAAGACATAAATTAGTAAACAAACTTCCTATATATACAAAAAGATTTATTAAAAAGTATTTTAACAAATGTCAAATATAACAAAAGAAACCGGTAATTTATATTAAATTAAAAGTGTCCTTTTATCATGGTTTACTTGTTTATTTATATCGGATTTTTCCTATCCTATTTGAATGCTTTCTTTAATTTTTAATTCAATTTTGTTTTTAGCACGGTCCGAAATCAAAAAGCATTTGTCATTATAATTTTTAAAACATTTTTCTTTTGAGTGAAGATGTTTATAAATAAGAGAGTTTTTATCCCTTTTGTAGAGCTCAATCACTCGCGTCTTTAGGTGGCCAGAGGTTTCAAAAATATAACAGGATTTACATCCTGCGCAAACAAATTTGTAGACGTCAAATGATTTAAAATCTACAGTAAGTGATCTTTAGATTAAAAAAATTTAGACACTTTAAACAAAGTGAATACTAATTTTACGGTAACCGACTTACAATGTCTCTATAATTGCGTGTAATCTTCGTTTCGTTAGCTCAGATATTCGACCAATATAATGGAGTTAACAGTAATGGAGTTAATAATAATGGAGTAAATAGCGAGAGTTTGTAAAGTCTTCAGACGGTAATAGAACGACATAATTATCTTTATTTAAGTAAGAGTTGTGGATTTTTTCAATTAGCCAAGATGGGTACATACTACGTTTAAGAATTTTGAAAAGTTTTTTAATATCATAGCGGAGACTAAGGGTAATGTTTTTAATTTTGAAACTTCTATCAATTAAACATTTTATAAGACTTATTTGATATGAAAACGAAGTAAAGCTGTAAAAGTTGGTGTATAATCCAGTAAAGGTTTTTTTATGAAAAACTTAAAGTCTTAAGTTTTTCATAAAATATAACAAAAAAAACTGGTAAATCATATTAAATTATAATTCTGTCTTCTGTATAAGTGTTCTGATGATGATATATGTTTTCACTTAAAACAGTTGGCTAGATTTCTTCGAGATTTATTATCTCCATTAATACCGTTTGAGTTTTTTACTAATGATTCTTACACCTTTGTTAAAGAAGTGAGCTTTTTACTAAAGATTTTTTCACCTTTATTAAAAAGATAACACTAAAAGCCAAAACATAATACAAAAAACTTTTCAAATAACTGACGTCAGCAGATGATGCGCCCAGGTTTTAGTTGTCACGTTATCACCGTGATCCCGATTGAGAACCACATCACTATTTCTCAACTTTTGTCGAACTCTAGCCTTGCTTCTTTCGAGTGACTCTCTGATTTTCCGAGTTCGATGTTCTGGGCTACAGATAATGTTTTGGGGTGCAACCAATCAAACTTACCATGGCATGTTTTAGAATGTTCAGCTGCATATACTCAGTTGCGTATCGTCTTGATATCACCTTTTTAATTTCGCAAATGTATATCGAACTGCATGAACATTTTAGCTGGTATACGCCAGGGTCTGTGTTTAGTGGTAGTTTAGTTTTATTGTTGCAAAAAATATTTTTTAAATTGGGAAAAAAAATAACCTTTATATTTTGCTTTCGAAAGTCTTTACAAAGTTTTGGACCAACAATTGGTATCCAAGGTAGTTTTATAAATGGTTGGGTATCTAATGGTTGAAATGTGGTGTTTTTTGAACCGTTTTTTAAATAGCCTATATTAATACTATTTAGAATGTTCTTGTCGTAGCCATTTTCAACAAAGATATTTATTAGAAAATCAATTTCTTGTTAAAGGTGTTTTTGAAAGCATATTCTTTTTGCACGACATAAAAATCCTTTAAAAACGCCAACAACAATGTTAGGATTAATGTTCGAGTTAGGTTTAAGTTGAACATTTGTAATAGCTTTTTTTCTATGTATTTGAAATTCACAAGCGCCAGAGCCTGTATTTGTAAAAGTAATATCTAGAAAATTGAGTTTTTTGAGGTCGTTTTCAAGTTCCACTGTGTATTTTATGGCAGGATGTTGTTCATTAAGGATGTTCAGGAACATTTGTTATTGTTTTATTAAAGCAAAGTGAGCGTGACAATCATCTACATATCTCTTGTAAGTTTTTGGTTCGGATGTATGAATAATTGCTATGTTAAGGGCTTTTATTTCTGTATTTTGTAAAAACGCAATTAATTGGTGTATGTCTGCAAGAGTAAGTTTAGTTCGAGTTTTTAAGTCATCTATGTCAGCGTTCAATATATCAATGATAACCGGAATTGCTTTGTCAATGTGTATAGATGGATATAAGTTGACTATATCAAATGAAACTTGAACTTCGTTAGGATCTATTATCCATTCCTTAGCTTCATTTACAAAACTATTACAATTCATAAGTCTACTTTTAATTTTGCTCAGAGTCGGTTGAATAATTTTAACAAGATAATCAGATGTTCCATAATGTGGTGTGTTAATTGTTGATACAACAGGGCGCATTGGATAATCTTTTTCTGGTTTGTGAACTTTAACCATTCGTAAATCCTTGATGGGTTACAATCTGATGGATACATTTTAAAGTATGTATTTGTGTCTAGCTTACCTTCTTTTCTTAATTTGTACTATTGTCTTTGAAATTTAGTCGTCAATATGGATGTTGGATCATAATCAATAATTTCGCTTTTTTTATTTGTTCTTCTAATTTGAGATATGCATCTTTTTCGTTTAATAATGCAAAACCTGTGCCTTTATCAAAAGGATATATCTTAATATTAGAATTGTTTTTTAATTTGTTTATGGAAAGACTTTGTTGCTAGTTAATTTATCTTTTAATCATAGTTTTAGCGAATTTGTTAAAATTATTGAACAGTTTCTGAGAGTCGTAGAGTGTCTGCCTGTGTTGGTTTTTTAAGTTTTTTAAGTTTTAAAGCGCAAGTTTTCATATTAGTTATAATATCCATGTAAGGAATTTTTTTCTGCAATGGTACAAAAATTGGACCTAATTGAGTAGCTCAGTTGTTGATTTATCCAGAGTAACATTAGTTAAATTGAGTATAGCAGGTTTAATAACTTGATTGGGAAGATCAAAAGTATTTTTATAATCGGTATAATTTGTAATTTATGATATTTTTCTTTCATTTCTGTATTTTTCTTAATATAATGGTAATTTTTTGATTAGTTGGTTATACTATTAATTAACTCATAATCGTGTAATCTTACTTTTGTTTGAAGAAATATATTAAATTCGTTAATTAATTTCTTACTTGAATATAATATGTGTTTGGCTTCGTTACGAACATAAATTAGTAGTTTTTTACTGTATTCCATCATTATATTTTTTGCTTTTTTTATTATGGATTGGAGTTTTTATTTTAAACAATTTTGGAGTTATGTTATTGGATAACACATTTGAAGAAAAATGAGTTAATTTTTTGAGTTCGCATTTCGTATCTTCAAATCTTATAATATTTTGGTATCATCGTAAATATTTTTGCCGTAAAAAGTAGTAAAATAATTTTTGTAAGTCATTTTCTTGTTATAAGTTAAAATATGGTTAGAATTCAATAAATACGGCTGCGTATATACTTTTTTTAAAGTATTTAAGAATGATCAAGTGATTGTAGGTGACCTTGTATCAATGACACTTTAGATCTTGTGTTAACAAAATCCAATGTGTTAAATGTATTTTTCTTACTAAACACATTTGGGGAGTGAATACATTGATATAAAATCGATTTATTATGAGTGTGTCAAGCTTGCTTGGTCTATTAAAGTTTGTCGAATTGTCATCATTCCAAACAATGTTAAGATAATTAAAATCGTTTGTGAGTATTATTATCGAAACACAATTTCTAATGATAGATTTAAAAGCTAATTTCTTAGGCAGTTTTTTCCATTATTCTTGATGTGCGGTATGTACAACGTATTAGCAACTAGTTATTTTTATTGATTGAGAGTGATAGCCATAGTTGTTCAGGATGTTTAAAAGTAAAGTAAGGATGAATTTCAGAAAAGTTAAACTCAATTACGTTTAGGCAAGTTCTTGAACAAATCGCAGCCCTTCCTTCATGTCCATTCTGAAGTCATGTCTGAAAAGGTATTCATTTTTTTTATTCGGGGATGATGTTTC